ATATATATATATATATATATATATATATATATATATATATAGTTCCCTACTGTACTTCAATAATTTCTTCTTCTGCAGAGTTACTTCTACAGATTCTCCCTGGCAGTTTCTGTTTTAGTTCCTTTTAAAAATCTCAAACTAAAGCTACATTGTATTTAAGAGCATGAAACATAATATTTATTTTTGTAAAGTATGTAGCAATAGTAAAATCTTACAAGCAGCAGTTTTAGATCACTTTCCTCATCTTCTCAAAAAGGGAAAAGAGAAAGCAAGGACAAAATGCTACAACTATGGTGCAACTGTGTCTCAACAATAGTGCAACTATATGTCACAATTATGGTGCAACAACTAAAAAGGTCAATCTCATCAATCAGATCTTTACTCAAGTGTGATCTTATTATTATTGTAGATATTTTATTCTCTCAACAATGGGGACTCAAGCCAGTTTACAACATATTTATAAACAATACAGATTTTTGAATAATACAGATTTTAGAACAATGTGTCCCTCCAATATGCTCTCGGACTGAAGCCTCCAGCAGTCTTGCCCCTTGGCTATGCTGGCTACAGCTGCTGGGACTTGCAGTTCAACACCTGGAAAGCATGACAGTTCCTGTTCCTGCCTTAAAAACATCCAGAGATAGCCGTGTTGGCCATATAGCAAAGTACAATAACATCCAAAATCCATAGAACAACGATACCTTTATTGGAGCAACCAAAATGCATAAAATGCATGTTGCAAGCTTTCGAAGCTCCATTGGCCTCTTCATCAAGCAAAGGTGTTAAAAATCATACAGGAGAAAAACTGTAATATCAAATGCCGGTTGATATAGGCTCTGTTTCAGAGAAAGGAGTTGGCAAAACCATCTCTGAGTTTTCCTGGCCTAAGAAAACCCTATGAGAAATGCATGGGGTCACCATGAGCCAACAAATGACATAAATGCATGACTGAAATGGCCTAAAAGCACCAGATCCCATTTGATCTTGGAAACTAAGCAGAATCAGACCTGGTTGGTACTTAGATGGGAGACCGCCAACAAATCCCGGGTGCTGGAGGCTCTATTTCAGAGGAAAGAACTGACAAAACCACCTCCGAGGATTCCTTGCCTAAGAAAACCCTATGAAATTGATGGGGTCTCCATAAGCCAACAGATCACTTGAAGGTACATATACATACACACAAACACACACATGAGTTTGTATGATTTTCGGTGTCTCATTCTGCACAATTTGGAAACTGAAGGCAAATTTCATTTATGGAAACTAGGATTCTCACTTGGAGGGACGATGCCCTAATTTTCCCTTCTATTGTAGATAAACCCTAGAAGAGACCAAAACAAAAAACAGGCAAGATGAAAAAAGTTGCAAAGCTGAGCATGTTTTGCTCAGATGTAAGGCCTCCTGGAATCAAATGGATTTATTTCCTGGGAAATGGGTTTTGAAGGCTACAGACACAGCTCTTGGGAAAATTTGCTTGAAGACACACAAACACACACACACAGAGACACACCATGAGTTGCCTTTCTTTGGAAGATGGAAAGGGAAATGGAGAGAAGCTCTCTCCAGATAAACAAACTGGTTTGGCTGTTCCTAGGAAAGCCATCAATTCAATTTCTCATTGAGATCTGGTGTTGCATTTTTAGATTTTATCTCAGTTTCTCAGCATCTGTCTGTATCCTGCTGCATAATCGTGTTGGGTTACAATAATTTTTTTTAAAAATCTTTTAAAATTAATATAAAAGATGAATGGAAAGAGCAGAGCTAGCTGCCTTTAGGCTGAAAGGCCTATTCTGCATTATGTATAAAAGACCTTTTTGGAGGGAGGAATCTACAGCTCTGCACTGAATCTGTTGCCTGTCCATTTCATTGGAAGGACCTGAGTTCAAGTATTACAGGAAAGGCTGCAACCTTTTTCCTCCATGCTTCATCCAACTTGGTTTTTCTACCACACTTCTGTCTCCCACCATAAAATAGTTTCCTTCCTTCTAAACTAAAATGGTGCAGTGGTTTGAGTGCTAGACTATGACACTGGAGACAAGGGTTTGATTCCTGGTTGGCCATGGGAACCGACTGGGTGACCTTGGGCAAGTCACACACTCTCAGCCCCAGGGGAAGGCAATGGCAAACCTTTGAACAAATCTTGCCAAGAAAACCCTATGATAGTTTTCACCTTAGGGTTGCCCTAAATCAGAAACAACTTTGAAGGTACATGAAAACTACAAAATTTGAGAGATCTTGAGGTTGTTCTAAACTCTCTGGCTATTTTGGACATTCTTTTCTTCAAGCATTCCTGTCTGCTGCTGCAATTCTGCTGTATAAGTATTCTTGAAGGGTGTGAAGCAGGAAATAATCCATTGCTCAGTGACAAAATGTAGTCACAGATTGACTCAGCCAAGGGTGGGGAACCCCTTTTGACCTGAAAGCCAAATTCAACATAAAGTGCTCTCCCCAATTCTAATAATGCATGGAACCAGAGGCAAAATGGAGCTTAAAAGACCAACATACTTCAGCTTAAAACTTTTATTGCCAGCAACTAAGTGTGCATCTGCACTGTAGAAATCATGCAGCTTGGCATCACTTTAAGTACTGTCACTCCATTCTATGGAATCCTGGGATTTGTAGTTTTGCAAGGTCTTTACGCCTTCTCTGCCAAAAAGTGCTGGTGCCTCACAAAACCTACAAATACCAAATACCTACAAATCTTGTTTATTTTTCTTTCTTTCATTCATTCATTTAAAAATGATAGCTAAGTTTCTAGACCTTGTGGTTATTGTTTTAAACTTTGTTTGGTTTCTATTGTTCTCTTGGCTTTTCACTTTTTTAGGATTTTGTGTTTTGGTTGGTGGCTTTATTTATTTATTTATTTATTGGAAGGGGGGGGGGAGAAGAAATCCTACAGCCTTCCAGATGTTCTTGGACTGCAGCTCCTAGCATTCTTTGCCATTGGCTAGCCTGCTGGAAGGTGCAGTTCAGCAATATTTGGAAAGCTCACTTCTTTTACAGCAGTGTTTTCCAGGCTTTGCTCCTCCAGATGTTTTGCATTTCAGCACCCAGAATTCCTGATTGTTGGCTAAACTGGCTGGAGGACCAAAAATCCTGGAGGACCAAAGTTTGGGAAACACTGTTTTGTAGGTATTGCTTTAATTTGCACATGGTTAGCCTGCCACCCAAGACTGTCTCTGAACTGGGTCAAATTTAATGTGAGCTGAGCCACTTTCCCTAAAACCACTTTTCCTAATAGTTTTCCCAATTTTATTACGCACTGTTTTTATTTCACATGGATATCCACATACAAAATTCACCCCAATCTTGACAATAGACAATTGTTGCAGGGTTGTACTTATGGGGGAGACAAACTGAGGCATTGCCCTCCATAATAATTCTGCCTCCTTCTGCCAGTTCCCAAATTTCTTTCACTGTAGCATCTTGGAGTGGTTTGAGGGTTGGACTGCGAATCTAGAGACCAGAGTTCAATTCCTAGCTCAGCTATAGAAACCCACTAGATGATCTTGGGCAAGTCATACTCTCTCAGCCTCAAGGAAAGGCCATAGCAAACCTCTGAAATCTGGCCAAGAACACTTCACAATAGGTTTGCCTTAGGGTCACCATAAGTCACATAAAGGTTTGAGTGTTGGACTGTGACTCCAGAGTCCAGGGTTCGATTCCCAGCTTGGCCATGAAACCCACTGGATGACTTTGAGAGAGTCACAGTCTCTCGGCCTCAGGGGAAGGCAATGGCAGACCTCCTCTGAACAACTGCCAAGAAAACCCCACGATAGGTGTGCCTTAGGATCACCATAAGTCAAAAATGACTTGAAGGCACACAACAACAACAACAACAACAACAACAGACAACTCTGCAGACCAGGGATCGATCCCTAGCTCAGTCATCAAACCCAGTGGGTGATCTTGGGCAGGTCACACTCTCTCAGCTTCAGGGCAAGGCAGTGGTAAACCTCCTCTGAACAAATCCTACCAGGAAAACCCCATGATACTTAGGGTCACCATAAGGCAGAAATGACTTGAAGGCACACAACAACAAGAATGTAACTTAACATTTTAGCTGAGCCTTTAAAAGTAGTTTAAGCGTCCAAAGAAAAGGGCCAGGAAAAGTGACCAAGGGAATGTGAACATGACAGGTATAAGACTTGTAGCTGTGAACAATTTCCACTTTTCTTTACAGTGTTGTTGGTTGGGTATCCCTTATCCAAAATCCAAAACCGTTTTTCCAGTGGCATCACTAAGGTTGGCATCACCCGGTGCGGAAACTCATGGTGTCACCGCCTTCATTGGCTTCCTCCCATACCGCAGGATACAGAGTCCTTAGTCATATTTATTAATGTTCCTCATAAGTTGTGTAATTCCTGACTGTCACTGAGTATGATGACAACAGTTGTGACGCAAGCAACTAGCCAAATTAAAAGTAGACCTTTAAATTACACCATCGTACGCACAGCCTAAGTGTATTTACACGTACCTCGTTTCATGTAGTTAAAGTGAGAATTTGGTAGGATAGGATGTTTGTAAAGAAAATGTCGAAAGAATAATAGCCTTTTCAAAAGAATAAAACTACAAACCCCCACGATCCCATAGCACTGAATGGTAGAAGTTAAAGTGGTGTCAAACTGCTTTATTTCTGCAGTGTGGCAGCAGCCCAATAAGAGCTCTGCAAGGGCTTTGCACTTCCACTGGTCTAACAATGCTAAGTCTGCTTGGATTATTCAAAGGATAAATGAGCTTCCCTTTTAGAGCTGCCTTAAACCTCTCCAAGGTGGCTGAAAGCAAAAAATTTTGGAAACTGTGGAACGTAAACAAAGGACAATGATAATATCAGCCAGTGACAACGAAAGTTGGGAAATGCAAAATGCATCATGACCCTAATAAAAGCCCAAACTCTCTTATAGGATAAAAAATTGTGTCTGTAAGACAGTCGAGGGAATTGTGTGGCACCCGCAGCTCTCTTGGAGGCCATGAACCCTTCTTTTCCCCTCAATTTTGGAGTGAGATGAGAAAGGGTAGATTTCCATTCCTGGAAGCCCTCCTTGCATTTTTAAAAAACATTTTTATAAAAGCCATGTTAGCAAATCATATGCAGTCTTTTGGCCATTTCTGGACATCTTCCTCCTCTGTTTTTGGAGACAAGGTGCTTGTTGTAGACCCATTTCCACCAACTCCATCCAGAATCGTTTCTAACTCTGGCTGCGTCCGCACTGTAAAAAGAACCCAGTTTGACACTGCTTTCACTGACGTGGCTCAATGCTATGGTATTCTGGGAATTGTAGTTTTCTGAGCCATTTGGCCTTCTCTGTCATAGAGCTCTAGTGTCACAACAATCCTGGGGGGGGTATTTTTGTGTGTTTTGTTTGTTTTTGGTCTTTTATGTTTTCAATGCCATTCCTTCCTCTTTCTCTCCTCCTAACCAACCCAGCTGGACCACATACCATCTGCTGGAAACTGGATGTGTCTGTGTTGTTCATAACCTGGCAGGGTGACACTTTGGCACCTGTTTTGGCACATTTGGGAGCATTGGAGAGAAAGCGGGCAGAAGGCATGGTGGCAGGGGTATGGATGAAGGAAAGGGAGACCAAAGACCCCTACCCATCCCAAAGAGGGTCCATGTCAAGGCGGAGGTTAAACAACATTAAAATGGCATTTCTGAGGTGTCTGTTTCCACCTTGGGCTGGCAAGATTTGGGTTTTCCTCCAAAGAACTCAGGGCATCCCTTGATCCTGGCATGTTTTCATCCTGGGAAAGGGTGGCGAAATGGTTGCAGGCTGGCTCTTTTCTTTGGGAAGCAAGTCAAAATGTTTGTGGTTGCATTTAAAAATAAAGGTAATGTGTTCTCCAGTGAAGAGGGGATGATCAAACTAAAAGAAATTGACATTTCAATGACTTTAATTAAAGGCAACAGATTCATAGAAGAAGAATGGAGACATAAAAAAAATCTGGGTAATAGAACAATAGAACAGTAGTAATATAATATGTATTGTAAATATTATTTTAATTATGCAATAAAATATTTTTTAAAAATTCTGGGTAACAAAGTTATGTTAGAAATAATAATAATAAATAATAATAATAATAATAATAATAATAATTCAAACTTATACTTACTAATTTTTATTTTTCAATATTTTCCAATCTGGCCATTTTGTTACCCAATAATAATAATAATAATAATAATAATAATAATAATAATAATAATATCCCACCTTTCTCCCAATATAGGGGCTCATAATAGAATAGAAACAAGTAGAATACAGGAATTATCACAAATAATTGATCACATGAGATATCTAATTGATAGTCCCATACACTTCAGAAATTTAGTGGACATAAAGGAAAAGCAGTCAACCTCTGCAAAATGTCTGTTATTCTCGAATGCTTTTTCTCTATCATCTGCTACTGGTTATAAGCATTGCTTGGCCTTTAAAGGAAGGAGTTCAGAGTGGAAAAATACACACACGCTGGTGAGTTAATCATTGCCCCAGGCACAAAGGTGTGTTTTCCTTCATGTGTTCAGTTTTCTCCCCCTCCTCTCCTTTTATTAAAACCCATTCCTGCCTCCCCAAATAATTTGGAAATGTTGCAAACTTTCTGTGACCAAGAAAGACTGGCTGCTTTCCATTCACTTTGGTTATGCTACAACTTATTTTGCACAGTTAGGCTCAAAGGTCTGACAAGATCCCTTTGCGTACTCCCAGGCCAAGTGTTTGTGCATTGAATGTCCATATCAATTAATAGAAATATATAATAATTAATATATTATCTAATATATAATATAACATCATGTGTTGTTGTGCGCCTTCAAGTCGTTTCTGTCTTAGGGCAGATTTCTTCATAGGAGGTTTGCCATGGCCATCCTCTGAGGCTGAGAGAGTGTGAGGTTGGCCAGTATGAACAACCCCACACCTAAATGAGAGAATACATGTATACACTTGTCCCTCCCTGTTTGCAGACTTGGAGTCTGTGGTCTCGGTCCTTTGCGGATGGCAAGCAGGAAGGGACAAAATGGTGCACCTGCAGGTGCGCACCGCCATTAAAATCAATGGGGCTTGGATATTTGTGATTTTCCTGATTCACAGGGGGAGTCTGGAACAGATCCCCCATGAATCAGGAGGAACGACTATATCTCTATCTCTGTCTCTGTCTCTATCTCTATCTCTATCTCTATCTCTATCTCTATCTCTATCTCTATCTCTATCTCTATCTCTATATCTATATCTATATCTATATCTATATCTATATAAATAGCAGAATATTTGTTAATAGAGACTCTGCAACTAAGGTTAGCAAGCTGGTAGATTTAGTCTAAATCCAGACTGGTGAATTTAGGTGTGTCTATCTCCTAGGTTAGTGCCATCTTTGCATCAACAGATGAGATGCTGTTTATACTGACAACAAAGTTGAGGTGGAATCTCTTTTCCTATAGCTTGCATCCATTGCTCTGAGTCTTATTCTTTGGAGCAACAGAAAGCTTGCTCCAGCCTCAGTATGACATCCTTTCAAATATTTAAACATGGCTATTATATCACCTCTTAACCTTCTCTTCTCCAGGTGAAAAAAACCCACCTCCCTAAGACACTCTTTATAGGATTCATGATGATGGATGATGATGATGATGATGATGATGATGGCGGCGTGTGCCTTCAAGCTGTTGTCTTTTGATGATCCTAAGCCCTAAGGCAGGGGTAGGCAACCTTTCCCCTTTAAGGGCGGAGGGACTTCAGCTCCCAGAAGCCTCAGCCATGTTGGCCAATAGTCCCATGTTGGCCAATAGCTCCTGGGATTCTGGGAGCTGAAGTCCCTCGGCCCTTAAAGGGGAAAGGCTGCCTACCCCTGCCCTAAGGCAATCCTATCATGAGGTTTTCTCAGCAAGATTTGTTCCGAGGGGGTTGTCCTTTGCCATCCTCAGAGGCTGAGAGAGTGGGACTTGGCCAAGGTCACCCAGTGGTTTCTACATCTGAGCGGGGATTTGCACCCTGACCTCCCAGAATCCTAGGTTGCATCCACACTGCAGAAATAATCCAGTTTGACACCGCTTGAACTGCCATGGCTCCATGTTATGGAATACTGGCATTTGTAGCTTTATGTATTTGATTTTAGATATAAGCCGCCTTGATGGCCAAGGCTAA